CAGCCCGTATTTATGTTTGGGATTGCCCCAAATGATGATTATGACTGATGCTTCCTCCAGGTGTGAATATGCAGCGTCCACCCCAAAGAACTCTGACCAAAGTTAGTTATTTTTATTCTACTGGTTAAGATAAAAGACGTACGAATGTATTTCAGGTTTGTACATTCTATGAAATAATTCATTTGCTATATAGATTATATAGATTTTCATGTAGCATAATGAAAGTTTGCCCCAATACAGAAGTGGTCCCTACAAACACAGCACTTTTGTTTTCTCTGAATAAAACGTATTCAGTGCCACTTTTTAGATAAGAAATCCATTAAATTTTGTTCTGCAAAAGCAATCTTGCACTGATAACAACTGTCAATTCCGACAACTGATGATTTAATGTTCTATTCCCTTTTCTAGCAATTACAAGTTGCTTGAAAATTAAATTACAGTTAATATTTCTCCCCAGTGAGGCAGTCTGACACGATGTGCAAATGCTTACATTGCCCTGTAAGTCAGTTGTTCCCAGAAGAGATGGGCTGGCAGCATGAAAATAATTAAATGCCAATATACAATTGGCCTCTTTTATGAAAAATAAACAGGCACAAAGACAAACTGTTCCACCACTAACCAACAAATGTTGAGATGACTGTTTATTCTAAACACAGGAATGAGGCTGCAGTGCGGTTTACTGGCTTTCATAAATTCACAATTTAGAACGTGTTCAGAACTAAAGTTCTTATTTCTCTGATGATTCTTCATCTGCATTGACCTTCTCTCTTTGGAGCCACATAAATGCTGACTTTGCTGTGCCATCTCCACTCTGTTGGGAAAAGCAAATGAAGGTAGCCCAGACAAAGCCACAGAGCCCAGTGTAAGCTGTTCGCAGGTAAACAGGGACCAAAATGAAGTTTGACAGCTGTGTTGGAAGGAGAGAGAGCTCAGTTAGTGCTCCAGGCATTGTTAGGTCTTACACCTACACACCCAACAACTCCACTGACTTCTCACTGGGTTAGATACACTCCGAATGCATCGGATCAGGTTTGGTAAAAAAGAAAGGCTCGCTGAGTTACCCTGGAGACTCACCTGCACAAAAGGCCAGTACATCAGTCCTGTCTGAAATGAAAATGAATCATTTGTTATTCTTACAGACTTCAACCACAAAGATGCATTTTTTCTACCACATTTAGCAAAGACTGAAACATATTTGAGTAAAGTTAATAAAAGTTGTCCAAATGTAAATTAAGTTGCTTAACTTACAGGCTGCAATATTAAATTTCTAATCATCTTCATGAGCCACTATGCTAGCATTTTCTCAAACATATTATTCTAACTCATTTTAAATACAAAACTCTAGGCATAGTTAAGTCTTCGTAGTCACCTGACACCAGATACATAACCACATTTACCAGATGGGTGAACAAATGTTTAAATATGTGAAAATTTGTTTCGGCCATGAATGAAAAATACCACTGAACACTATTTATTTCACATTTGCAATGTTCCTTCTAGTTACTCATACCTGTAAGGCTTTTTTGCAAAAATCAGTGGGTAATTTACTTATAGAACATAAGGTAAATAGAAACCATATGTTTTGACAGGATATAGTGGGCACTATTTTTAGAATCATCCTCCATAGTAATAAAAATAAACCTTTTCTATCCTACCTATATAGTTCCACACTGTGAAGAGAAACTCACATTACATCACAGTTTCTGCTTCTATTACATTTTTTCTGCTAATCTGTCTTTCGTCTTGTGCCTGAGCAATCTTTAAAATTCTTAATTTGCTCAGCTCTGAGGCAGCACGGGTAATTTTTCCTGTGTATGTAGAAACACAAACCAAAACCAGCTATTTATACCAAAGTCTTCTTAAAATAACGGACTGTTTTTCTGAAAGTGAGAAGACTGTCACTGAAAAGTACAGGCTAAAAATTATTCCCAAAAAAGATGTCTCTGTAATTAATTATTTTAACAGGTGCTCAAGCAAGAGTTGTCAACAGCATTACTAACCAAACACTGGGGTATGGGTATCTCTTGAGATAAAATGTAGAACAGTTTTATCAGTGTTGTACTGTAGGGCTCTCATTCAAACACAGCCGGGTGCAAGTGTTATGTATATAAACATTGCACATTTTTAAAATGGCATCATTTCACCCATCTGGCAGCAGTGCCTGCTGCAGACTGCCCTGGCTTCAGATGACTGCTGGTACTTAAACCTTCCTGCACATAACCAAATAATGAAGTGAGAGGAAGGCTGCTGGAGGAAGGAATATTTCAAATATTTTATCCAATATTTTTTCTTTGCTTGAATTGCAAGTGAATTGCTTGCCTCACCTTATATGTATTCCAAAATTTCTTTTTACAGTCTGAAAAGATGTCCTCTTTCCTCTGAAGGATGCTCATACCTAGTAGCAAAATATTTACAACAATCAGAAAAACTGCAAAAATGAAATGTTCAGTTTTTTGAATGATATCTGAAACTCTTCTCAAAATATATTACAATAGCTTTGAAAGAAAAGCTGATATCATTACAAAGAAAAAATACCACTCTGGCTACCTAATAGTGACATATCACCTCTCCTCATCCACTGACTTGGCTCTTAGTGTTGACACCACAGATACTGGAGGATGCTGTATAGGTGGTATGTCATAGCTGTTCCACTGCCACATAATTCACCAGTGGTATGGCAGTGGAACAGATACAGTGAAAGTGCCTTTTACACCCATGAGACAGATGGAATAACACATTCTGCACACTGCTGAATTGCCAGAAGTGGCTCAGATCCTTGAAGGACTTTAGGTGCCTACAGACTACTGAAGCCACTGGAAAAAGGCACCTGTTTGGGTTTTTTTTTTTTAATTTCGGCCATAATGAATGGGTGATTTTTTTTACCTTCATGAGTATCTACATCAAATCCAAATTCTAGAACTGACAAACAAAACAGTTTCCAAACCTACTTGTTTAACTCTCCACACACAGCATTCTAAAATCCTACATAAATTCTAGTTGATCCAAACTCCTCTTGATTCTAGGAAAACACAACCTCACAACAGGCTCAAGATCAAGAGAAAAGCAGTATGAACTCGTACTTACATATTAGACACATGCAAACTGGATATAAATTAACTGAATGAATTCCCATCACATGAAATATTGTTTAAAGGGTTGAAAATAATAAACCCTTTAAACAATATTTCATGTGGTGAGAATCCTCTGGTGTCAAATTAAGACTACATCTTTCTAAGAGATAAAGCAACTCTTCAAAGATCTTCCACCTTAACTGGAAGATGTGACCTGTATTAAGCAAAGATATTGGACAACATGCTTTAACAAATCAATCTACAATCAAGAGCTGCGCATAAGCAGAGGACCAAAGCTGCCTAGTCTGACTCAGGTATCTTTCTAGATAGTTGCATACCACGAGGTTATCAATATCTCGCAGCTGATACCTTATTTGGCTGTTACACCATACTGCTACCCAATTTAGGTATCTTTACTGTCCTTTTTGTGTTCCTTCAAATCCTTCTAGTCCTTGGGCATTCTCTGCTTACGTTCCGACACAGGCAGATATTATTTTGAGAGTAAATAATCTGATGTTTAACTTCTTTCTTCACTTAATTTCTCTTCAATCACAACCTGAGTGATTTTCCTGTCAGGGTTGTAATACACAGATCTCCCAATACCAGGCAAAAACAGTACTTGTCTTTCTCTTCTTCCACATCAAGTTTAAATTTAATGAGAACCTTGTTTTACACTACTCTCACCTATCATTTTTCTTATTCCCTGATGTTTATTTTTGAAATAGATACTAGTCTTCTCTACAGTCTCTTCTTATTCATTAGCTTTTGAGATTATAAATTGTGACCTAATAGCACTTCGTGGTATTTCTATAGACTCTTAGAGCAGCAGATGGTACAGTTTATTTGCAGAACTACAGCATTTCCTGACATTTGCAGTTAATTGTGTTTTGGGAACGAGACAGCTGATGCTGAGCAGAACAATTCAAGCAGACATGGGTGGTACAATACTTGTAAGGTGCTTTGAATTCCTTGCAACTAATGGAAAGCTACGGGCTCAGCCAAGCGCGGGGCAGGACTCCGCTTGGGCACAGCATCCCCTCGTTCAATGCTCTGAAATGCCCTGCAAGCACAGGCTCGGGCAGAGCTCCTGGCGTGGGCAGGTCCCCAACCGCTGTCCCCGCTCCGAGCGCAGCTCTGCGAGCGCCTGCGGCGTTTTCCAAGGCTTTGCGCCGGCAGCGCCTCGGCGGAGACCTCGGCGGCGACCCA